AAGGTATCAGAATTCCCCTAGTGTGGGTGTTTTGGGAGTAGTTACATCAGGTGCCAGCCTAGGAAAGGATGTACTTTTATGGCCAATCCACCAACAAAATTAATGTGACATTCCCTGGATTTTTGGATGAGTAGGATTTTACAGTTTTGAGGTGGAAAGTACAATACCTGCACTCTAAAGGGAGGGGGGAGGATGCTACAGTTAAAAGGGGTCACTTTAAACTGTATGTTGTTTTTGCTTCTGACAAGCAGCTATTAATGAGTGAGGGAAGTTTTTTCCTCTTTTTTTTTCACCCCCAGGGAATTCGTTAGCCTTGTGCTTTTCGCCTTTCCCTGTTGAGAGCCCCCAACGCTGAAGCCACCCTGTTGATTCCCAGATGCCCATTCCTTTGCTACTGTTTTCGCTCTCATGATCTCCACAACCCCTTCCATATATAGAATCGCACCGATGTTGTGAATTTTTTATTTTTTCATCGCCCCTTTTTTATCCCCATTTTTTTTCTTTTTTTAAACCCCTTTCCATTCGCTCTTGTTTTCCCCTTCATTACCCCCTTTTATGTCAGTGTATCTCTTTTTTCCCTGCTCCCCCGGGGAAAATTTCCCAGCTGTTCGAACCTGTCTTTCTCACCCCCTTGGCAAACCCCAATGCCTAGGGTAGCTTCCTGCCTTTTATTTCTTGCCCACTCTGCCTTTTCCATATCGCTGTATACCAGATGGCTTAAATTTCTGACAGCGGGGATTCCGATTGTTTCCGGACGTGTCGTGCGGGGCTTTTTACTATCCTGGGGCTAGCTTTTTTACTGCAAAATTGTATGCCATTCTTGTAGCACTTTATGTGATTGACTACCCTTTCACCTTTGTATTGTTTCGACCCCCTTTAGGCTTTACGGGCTATACGAAAATTTGATACACCCATCCCCTAGTTCTCATACCCAATTTTGGGTTATCCCCGTATCTCTACCAATAAAAGATATTGTGTTTTTTTGGGATCCCTGGTCATGTTGATGTACAGGGCAATAACAGGCAGACACTGCTGTCATCAGCTGTACATCCCTTTCCCAGTTTCATATAGGGGTGTTCCATTCACGGGATATTTTGCTGAATTGCTACCCACCCTTTACACCCCCTTGGCAACACGTTGGGCTGATCTGCTCAATAACAAACTTCATTCTATTAAACCTAGTCTAGGTTACTGGATATCTTCTTGTCATCAGTGTCGAGGTTGGGAGACTACTCTCTCCCATCTTCGCATTGGCCACACTCGTCTTACTCATGGGTATCTCATGGAGAGGTGCCCTGTTCCTCTCTGTGAGAATTGTCAGGTTCCAGTATCTGTTAGCCACATTCTGTTAGACTGCCCACTCTATCAACGAGAAACGCAGAATTTACCTCCATCATCTCTGCTCTGCTGCTCTTTCTTTCCCTTCCCCTTCTTGCTGATGGACCCTCCTTTAATCCAGACTCATTGACTTTTTGACAACAACTGATTTATTTCCCACAAACTCTGATGATGATACCTTTAAAGCACCCCCCATAGCCCTTTCTACCTCAATCTCTTGCTACCCTCTACCCCTGCACTATCATCTGCCCTGCTGTCCTCCATAACCTATTAATCATCCCTCTCTCCTTTTGCCACCCGATACTCTCGCTTCCCTCTCTCCCCCTGCAGTGCTGTATGGCCCTTGTGGTTTGGCACTTCTTTTTTATTATAATAATAATCCTTTTATTTCATTGCCCCATCATAGTGGGAGACGACTGATATGTAAAAAAAAAATATATATAAATCTTTTCTGTATTATTTTTCAAGTCTCTGTTTAAAAAGAACTGCCACACAGTTTGAATGGCAGGTAATCAATGCTAGATAATCAATGATGTATTTATTTAGCCATCAGTTGTGTGCATGACAATGGTAAGATGAGGATCTTCCATGACACTGTATATCTCTGAATTCATATAGGTAACGAAAAACACTTTTTTTATGCCTTTCTCATAATTTAGTGTTATACAACAGCATTGTACAATCAGTGCCATTTTGTGATTATTGCTTGTGAAGTCACTAAGGAAGAAAATAACTCCATTAAAGTGTCACAACCCCTGCCTTGGCAAATAGCTGTCAGACACCCTCTCGGCTTAAAATCAGGTCTTTGTTCTTGAACTGGGGGTCAGGTTATAACGGGTGGTCTATGCCCTTTTGGGAAAGGGGAGTGCTTTAAGAACCATATAAGCTCAAGGAAACAGCTAGAGAGAGAGATAGATTGGTGAGCAGGAGCCCTGGACAGCTCTGTGTGTAGTGAACCATGCATTGCAAATCTCGGGTCAGCTGGTCAGTGAATTAAGAGTAAGTAAAAAATCCGTGTTACTGATAACACCTACTCTTCCCCTGGTAATTAGTCTCATAGGTTCAATTGTTATTTAATGTAATTTTCCATCAGGATATGTTGTATTCTCGCTCTTTTTGTTATTAAGTAAACTATTGCCATAGTCCCATTTGTATTTATGCCATTCCTATTATTTTCAGCACTGGGAAAATATAGGAGATGGTTCAACTTGCTGGGATACTCAGCAGAGTGGGTAATGGTCTCACAATTTTCACAAGTTTTTTCAATGTACCAAGCCATATTCCTCCACTGGGGCAGGGTTTGACCTAAAAGAAAAATCGAAGTCTTTTTTTTATATTTAGTGGTGTATACAGAAGGTTGTTTTACTAGCCCTTGCTGCTGGCATTTTAATAGCCTCTTTGGCACGCATAACTTTCAAAGGAAAATTCTTTTCTTATGTTTAGATTTGTTAATGGACATAGCAGTGTGGTACATGTTGTCTTAGTCCATGGAACAATGATGTTATAATGCCAGATTACCTATACATTTATCATTTACAAGTCGTAGTAAATGGTATAGACATGTACAATATAGTACAGTCAGTGGTTGGTAACTCAGGATGTGAAATTCATTCGTTCAGAAGGCTGTTCGTGATCGGATACCAAACGAATTTATTCCCAAAAGAAATAATGTAATTAGATTAACCATTTCAGACCCCAAAAATACACTTACAAAAGCACTTACATAAATACACTTGAATAATTGTTCGAGTTTTGAGCTTTTCATATCCTGAGGTACCACTGTATACTTTAGTTTGGTAAGTGTGGATCTGTGGGCTCAGAGATTTTAATATCAGTATTATATAATATTAATTATGAAGGTTTGTATATACTAGTTGTTGTTGGTTTATGTCTCTAAATATAAGCAGTATAAACATGATTAAAGATCTTATTAGAATTTTACCAACTTAAATGACGATAAAAAAGAATACAGCCTCTCCTCACTTAGCAGTGTATTTGTTTGCCGACGGCTCGAACTTAAGACAGGCTCTCTGTCCAGTATGCATAAATAAATAATGTATATTAGAGCTGATTTGCCTCTATTTTTTAAAATCCTGTTTATACAATATACAGTTACACTGCTGTATAAACATTTAAAAATATACTAAAAATGTTATAAATGATGCAGAGGTGACATTAAAACAATATCAAAGATGGTTGACACAGACCCTCTACCATTATAGTATGATCCTCACTTAGCCACAAATTTGTTTACCGACATGGTCTTAGGAACGGAACTCCATCGTTAAGTGAGAAGAAGCTGTATAACAGTAAGAGAAAGTTAGAA